TTTGTATGGAAACGTCAAAATGCTACTTTTTGTTTACATTTGTTGCTACCTTTATAACAAATTATTTCACATTTATCGCTAACTTCTTTGTAAACGTATTTTAAAAACATTAATTAAACATTATAAAATTCATGTTTGCCCTTTCTGTATAAATTGAAATTTATTAGTACGTATTTTACAAAATTAAATTGGCCAATTAATTTTGTAAAAACGTACTAATAAATTTATTTTAACCGGCTTAGTGTTTTTAAATTATATTTTCAAAAGCGTAAGTTCTATACAGATTGTAAAACTGTAAAAAAGGCTGAATGATTTTTTTTTCTCTCTTTTAATTTAGTCGTATTAACCCTTTGTCATCCCATATATTTGTCACTGTGATGAAAAGAGATTCAAAAAATTTTTTGTTTGTTTTTTTTTTTTATTCTTTTTGTTGTTGTGGGTTTTTTGTTTTTTTGTTTTGAATTTTTATTTTTAAAATATAAACATTTCCCGTTCCAATAGTGCATTAAATTGATGATTTTCTTCTTATCATATAAGTTTGAATTAATTAAAAAATAAAACCCTTATATAGGGTTTTTTAATTTTTTTTTTGTTTTTTTTTCAAATTCTTTTTTATTTATAATTACTGGAACGGGTGCACCCAAGTATTTGTCTATTGAGTATGACCCCCGGGGCTACCATACGTTTTCTCTCTTATATTTAAAAAATATCATAATCATGGATATCTACCCATGGGCTATATTCTGTTGCATTTTAAATTTTTGTTTCCGTTTTAACGCGGGTTTTACCGTGAGAGGCACGAGCGCCGCGGTACTTTAGTCTACGGGGTTTTCGTTTGACAATCTGAAAAAAATGGCAAACGTATATGGGTAAAAAGCATACGTAAATCGGAGAAATGATCCATCCCAAAAAGTCCAGCAAAACATATCAGTGTGCATGCGACAGTGTTAGATATGCAGAGTGGGTCGACCTAGAAAAACGAGTGTGGGAAACATCGTAAAATTACTAACGATAAAAAATTCGGGGTTAACTGGGAAAACTTTACGGGTTCTTAAATTATAGTTCCCAACTATAACTTCATTGTTCAAATTTCCCCCCTTTTGGCCAAAAATAAATTGGGGGATTTCAATCTAAGGGGGTTAAATTATTTCTTGTAAAAACTGCCCACGTGCCTTGGGCGAGCCCTGTACGATTGTTACACGTGTTCACCCCAATGATTTAGGCGTTGCTATTTATATTTAGTGTCATTTATTGGGTTATATCACGTGAAAAACGTCCGTATCCAAGGGGTTTTGGACGGGAAATTCCCTAAACCACCATGTTGGGTACTTTCTTAGTTTTTTGCTTTTACCTTGTTAAATTGAATACTTGGGTTTTTCCCTTTTAAAAATTTAATTTATCTATTATCGACTTTGAAAAAAAATGTGTTGGAAAAATTTTAGTGAAGTATGTTCAAATAGTTGGGGAATTTTTTCCCCACGGTTTTTTAAAGAAAAAAAAATTTTAAACCTGCCCCCAAGCAAATGTTAAAAATACTTGTTTTTTAACGTGCTAAAAGTTTGTCCATGTAGGAAAACCCTTTTTTGAATAAGGACTTCGTTAAAAAAAGTAAATTTTTTTGTTAAAGACTTTAAAAGTTGTTTTTTTTTCAACATTTTTATTTTTATGACCCGATCTCCAAAGTTTGTGGCAATTTGTTCCATTGATTTCAAAGTCTTCAAAAATTCAACCTAACGAGAAGGAAATGTATATTTTACTGCTTTGAAGTTCGGGGGGGGGGAGGAATAAGAATAACATTTGTGCTGAGTTTAAAAATTCACGAAGTGATCAGAGTATGTGAAACTAAAAATATGGGGATATATCCAAATATCCAAGTGAAAGCTTTCATTGTTATTATTTTAAACTCACAGTCCTGTTATAAAAGAAGTGTTTACCTTTCTTTATTGTCTGTATTTTTAACCCACTTTTATACGTGATAAAACAGTTTGTACAAGAAATTCTGATATAAGGAGTCATTAAACTGTATTCAAAATGATTTATTATATTTGCTGTGCTACACTACAGTACATCATGTATTTGAATAAAACCGAAAATATCTGTAAACTAATATGATACGCATACATGTAATATAATAGGCCGTCTTTGACATAGCTGATTTCAATGTAAAATTTGGTAAATTAAATGGCCTTGAAATTTAAACCACAATATTTCGAAAACAAAAATCATTGTGTGCCTTTATTCCTATATAACAATTAATACTATATATTTACATATAATAATTTAACAAATTAATTTGACAAAAAGGGAGGCATAAATGGTTCGAGTTAACAGGACAGAGACCTGATGTCAATCGTGTTTGATGTAAGAGATGGGTACATATACATTATATGTTTCGTAGCCTATTTATCCGGTAAAATCTGTTTTGAACGATTTTTCTGCCGACCATGCACCTAACGCATACCGATATTGCACAGAATAGCCAAAATTCTTTCTTAGAAATATTTTTCATTTGTACTGAAACTTCGACGAGTCCCTGCCGGTTGCGTTAACTAAACGAATATACTTCGTACCCTTACCGAATATACTGAAGTCCCCCATTCCCTCCCCAATAGCGAATTGCTATCAACAGTATACCAAATATCCCAAATATTCCTGAATTCGATCAACAAATCATATTTCATCAAACTGCAAGTCTGCAACCCAACTACAAAAAGAAAATTGAAATACACAATGTATTATTTTTGAAGGTATACAAACAAATTGTCTGAAGTTCTTCGATGATATTTTCTACTTTATTGCTGTTTGTATTATTTTACCTTTTAAGTCATGTTTTAGACGTAAACTCAACAACACTCAACTGGCGTATGTTATCAAAAGATATTTCTTTTTTTTCTTTCTTTCATTTTGTTTTTGTCAATAAAAAATCAAAACACCACAAAAAATAATAACAAAAATAATCATTACATATCTCCAATAGTTACCATAATCGAATTTGAATCATTACGATAAGAGTTAATGTTCAAATTTCAGTTTAGTCCAGTTTAAACAATGTCTTTATTTATTCTTTACTTGTCACGGCATGTATCCTACGTCTGAGTTGACCATACTAGACGTAGAAATTTACGTTGTTCATAGTGTTAAAAATCTTGGGATTGTAACAATATCTCAAACGCATGTTCGGCTTCTATGCCGGGACATGACCTTCCATCATTATATATTCGCTCGTCGTGACCCAGGCCTTGGCTTTGCCATGCTAGTACGTCATGAAAGGCGTTGTGTCCCGGAAAGAGAAATAAGATATTTACAATATCATCAGGCAGAGTTTCCAGATGATTACCGTCATCAAAAAACTCCTTTAGCTCGCTCTCACTGAATGCTTTGGCATCAGATGCAAGACCTATACCATCAACGTCGGCCCATAGAAACTTTTCGTCTCTTTGAACTAGGGCTAACAACACTAAAAACTAAATCATTTGTAGTTAAAGTACTGATAGGTAATTTTTGGTTTTTGGTGGGCAACGGCAGACTACATGTTTGTCATCAAGCGTCCCACAGAAGTATGGCAAGTTCCATTTCTTGTTAAACCGATTTGCTATTTTATGTCAGGGGTGCTCGGGCAGATCATGACCTAATCTAGGATTTCGTTGTGATTGTTTGACACACTTCCCTAAATACTTTTGACACTGTGTCATGTGGCTCTTGCCATGCAATTGTCATGGAAGCATAATTGCAAGCAAACAGGTGAAGCAGTGTTATAGCACACTTCAAAAGCTCATTAGAATATGTGCTAGGAATTTTTTATGCCTAACCTTTTGCAATAATACATCATTCAACATTTCTATGGAGTTGCTGAATACCATCAGTTTTTCATATATTCCAAAAGTTGATTCTTCTCTCTATCAAAGAGATGATTAAGTGTTTTAGCTTTCTCTTTTTTTATCCCTTTACTCTTTTTACCTGAACTTTGAAAACATTTTAGTTCGGCTCGTAGGGATATAATCAGTTGCTGTCTCTGTTCAACGGAGAGGTGTACAAAAGGCCCGAAGCCTACCAAACCCTCTGCATACCTTCACCGAACAATTTTTGAGGGACAATAGCGATTATCGACGAATTTTGACGAATGGTTTCGAACACAAACCGTTCGTACGGAACAAACCTTTTACGAATACACCGGAATTTATTCGGCTATGTGGAACAGGGGGTTAATAAGTAACATAACGTAATCAAAGGCATCTTAGAAGTATACAATATCAATGTGTGTTTTTTTTGCATGGATATATATTTGACAGGTGTGTTCTACTTGGGACAATTGCATTACACATATTTTTGTACCAGGTTGTACATGTAATAAATATTATCATTTTGTATAAGAGGCTATGAAGACAGAAATGTGTCATAAAACTTTTGTCAAATAGAGCTATTAGGAATGGCTGTCTTAAACAGTTGCCCAGTAAGCAGTCGTAAAAATCCTTTTATAAAAGTACACCCACGCTTTACTTTAAGATCTAATTTTCCATTCACGTATACATTATTGTGTTTGGTTATTTGTTACTGACTGTAATGGTTAGCCAAATAAATTTACATTATGTAACATATTTTTAAAGTTTGAAAAATTTAACCCAAAATGTGTGTAATAAAATAAACCGTCCGGTCTTATTTAAAATGTGAGAATTTTTTTGTTTTTGTTTTTTTAAGCATTTATCAGTACGTTTCATAAAAAGTAAGGCACAATACCACTGTTGAATTTTGTTCCGCCAAGAGTACATGGACACTATATATGTAAAAATCCATGCAAATTAAGGCCCAGATAACAAACTTTGGTGAATTCGACACCGAGTTGGGCGGAAAAAATCTTCAAAATAGGCCGACTTTGATCACGATTAAATCTTAAAATATCTATGACGACCATATAATGATAGCAAACAACTATTTAAGTTATGTAACCACCGGTATCAGGCACAGCGATATGATAAGATGATAAAACAGGAAGGTTTAGTGGACTGAAAAAAGTCATGTGGATTGCCATGTGACTACAATAAAACTTTGTCCATCCATGCTGATTTAATTGCCATGATTATTTTAAGGATTTAGGTCGACATTGTTGTAAAAACGGAGCATTTTTGGGATGGGATATCACCCTGTCTAAATTTTAATAACCACTTAAATGTTCCTAATGATATATACTGGTATTTCATTTTATTTTACTGATATACTTAGACCGAGGATGCGTTGATAACCCATGAATAAGAATTATGTGTATGCAAAATCTGCTATATCAATGAAAGACAATAAAATTAAAAAGAATATTTTAAACATTCAGGAAAAAAATCGCGGGAACTTGTATAATACTATGCAGATAAGAAAAATATGGCGTGTTTTATTGAATACATACATTCTCCAAACCCATGTTTGATATATTTACTCGAGACATACATTCTTATCACTAACTATTTCGTCATCATGAACTGATTGGGCACGCGGTTTTTTCTCTCTACTATAACCATAATCGGTAAAGATGTTCTGAAAACGTACCGTCATTTTATTTTCACCTAAAATAAATACATTAAAGAATTAAAGGCATTTGAGACACCTGTAGTTAAAAAAAAGGTTTTAAATATTGTAATTTACGAAGAGAACATTGCAGTATCATGTGTGACGTATTCAAGGACGAGTTTAGACTGTCCAATTTCGGACTAGCCCATAATAAAAGAGATGACTTTATTACATGTCGGGTAAGTTGCTTATTTTATACTGATCAATAAATAATTAATTTTTGTGTTTTTTTTTCTTAGGTTGTTATTTAAGTTTTGTACTTGCAAAATACTGTATGTAATAGATTATGAGATCCATAATAACAGGAAAATTTTTATAGAAGTCTATTAAAGTATTCTTTATAAAAAAAGTTGTGGTTATTTAAAAAATTATTAAACTATTCTTTACAAAAAGAAATTGTGAGTTTAAAAAACACACACACTATATTTTAACATGTGTACAGACAATAATTATAACTGGTTCAACTCATGACACAAAAGTTTCAAAGCTGAAAGCAAATTTGAACTTAACATTAAGACATTAAATTAAGTGTATTTGTATTCCCGATGTTTTCTTAATATATACATGTACAAAACTTGACAGAATAAACACAATTAAATTCAAGGATAAAGCGACTGGCTTTAAGTTTGGATCTATAAGCAACTTTGATAATAAAGGAGAGTATAATCGTTGGTAATTAACATGCATAATCGTGTTCCTGTAACGTCACATCATGATAATACTCAAAATGTAACAAATTGCAATGGCTTTAAAATTTCACAATTTCCTAAACTTTGAAGAAAAAGATTCTTATATTTTTTTACACAAGTTTATTTTCAAATTCATTATTTCAGACATGTCCTTTTACGTAACATTTTGGCAGGAATGTATTTTACAAACTACTATAATATAAAATATTCACCATTTTGTTGAATGTTTTAGAAATGCAAAATGTATGAAACATGTACCGATTGGATAGTTCATCGAGAGTACATCGAGAATAACGTTTTTACAAAAATATGTTTTCAATAAATGGTATTAGTTTATAGAAGACAAAAGATACATTTCCGGTACATGTACGTATCATCATTTGACCTTGTTCACTGGTCACGGTGTTTGTATGTCATTTCTCTTAACCTCATGCGCGAGCGTTATCTGGGCAGCCAATGCCAACATAAACAAACGAACAGACTAAACTAGTGGGTCAATAAGATAACGCTTTACTCTATGTCGTATGACATATGACTGAGGCAGACGACATATGAGCCATGTCACGACAAAACCAACATAATGGGTTTGCGACCAGCATGGATCCAGACCAGCCTGCGCATCCGCGCAGTCTGATCAGGATCCATGTTGTTCGCTTACCAACCCTTTTACAAGTAGAGAATATGATAGCAAACAGCATGGATCCTGATCAGACTGCGCGGATGCGCAGGCTGGTCTGGATCCATGCTGGTCGCAAACCCATTATGTTGGTTTTATCATGACGCAGACGACATATTAAGGACACTCCAAGGTCTGATAAAAGTTCATTGAAAAATTCCCTTGACTTCACATACATTTGAGATTAAGTCAAATTTATTTCATGCGATAAGATATAAAGCGATTATCACTATAAATATGATTCATAATTGTTAATATACATCCGCGCATGTAAAACAAGGAGCAGACATGTATTTTATTAAAATTTTGCGCGTTAATTCACCAAACAATTTTGTATCTATTCTTACGAGGAGCAAAATCATAATTATATAAATTGAATTTAAGAACTGTTGCAAATGTTTAAAAAAGTCACATCAGAGTTAATGATCACATATTAACATTCTTTGAAATAAAACAATTAATGAAAACTTATCTCTATTAAGGTCCGAACCGAAAGGTTAAGTATTTGTACAAGTGGCCCCTTAACTGTTCATAATATTCTGATATTTGGCCGATTTTCATATTCTGAAATATAACACAACTCTTAGTCATGTAAATTTATCAATGGCATGGCGTCCTTACAATGTTTTTGCAAATTTATATTCTTTGTAATAGAAAATATGTCATGAGGTTATAATTAAATGCAAGGGTATTTTCCCGCCATGCGAATCTTATCACCTACGTTTTAAAGTTTTTTGGCATCTTGTGTGGTGTTCTTGTTTAAAAAACGAGATATTTGACCGAATTTGATTACATGAAATTAGGCCTGAGTGCGTTAAATTTGTTTTCTTACATGCCACTATAACTACAAACATAGCCTAGTTTAAATGTTCTATTTTTCGAAAGTTCGGAAGAATTCGGCAAACCCCGACACTTGACGATGCAGTTTTCTAATGTTCGTATAGTGGCGGGTTGCTTCATGTAAAGCAGACGCTTATTTGATAATTGTTCGACACGGAAAGTCACGAAATATGCCGAACTTTCCTGTACGCATACCCAGACTTACTTTTATTGCTATGAACTCCCTCAAGGACGGATAGCTAAGTTGCGAAGACACTGAGTCAATAAATCGTTTAACATAAAAACCAGCGTTGTTTAATGACATATTAATGTAAATTTTATAGATAAGAACAAACAAAAAGATATCTTACTTTGATAGACAAAGATTAGAAATCGATAATTCATCTAATTATCTTATTTCAATAACTTTAAGAAGATTACAAAAGTTCAAGAACTTATTGACGTATATTTCTTTCTAGAGCAAATCTATGCTTTACCTGCTATCTAAAAATAGATTTTTAATTTGGGGCAGTATTGCAATTGTTGACAAGAGCAACAACAACAAACAACAAAAAACAACAACAAAAACAACAAATATACGTTATGGCTGTTTTGTGTGAAATTTAAAACATTATTTTAATGGCATTTATTATTTTATTTTAGTCGTTTTATTTATAAAAATAATTTTTGTCTTAATTCTTTTCATAACCGGAAATAATATGTAGCTATATTTAAATGTTTGGGCATATTTCAATTACTTTATGTTTGTTTGAATTCTGGACATTTTCATACGTCCAGCGAGTATTGCTACAATTTTGCTTGCCTCAATTTTAGGCAGAATGTAAATAAAAATGTATTTTGTTTTTCTTTTCAGTGGAACTGGCATCCATTGGTATTTTTCATTTACCGCATTGCAGTTGCCACATATGTGACAGTATTCTTCGTGACCACATTTATTCTCCTCGCACAAAATGGCGACTTTTCTTTCATGGCTTACCTTACGTTATGGACATATCTTATATTGACACTGTACTTCCTGTTCTCGGCTATAGATGTCGTCTATAGCAAATGTAAGGGAGACACTGGGAACCAACAAACCGGATGTAGGTCCTCTAAAATAGGTCTCCAGACCAAGGAGGGATATAATAACATTGCTTTCGTCGAAAGTAATTCAAAACTGAACGTAACAGCTGTTAAGAATGGTTATCCTGGCGAAACAGTGCCAGAATACGGAGAAGCTCTGCCTGGTGACATTCACATTGCATCCGATGAAATTTCCGGTTTCACGAAAGTTTGCTGGCTTCTTGGAAACATCACGCACGTATTTGCCATAGTGGTTACAGCTGTATATTTTACAGCATTGTTTCCTTTAATAGGATACACAAATTGTACAGATATAAATTTACACGGCGTTAATACATTTCTTGTGATTGTTGACACGTGTCTATCTGCGAGACCAGTCCGTTTGTTACACGTGATACATCCGGTACTTTACGGAGCGTGTTATCTTGTATTCAGCGCCGTCTATTGGAGTTTCGACCACGTGAATCATGTACTTTATCCGGGTGTACTAGACTGGAACTATCCGGGGACAACGGCTATTTGGGTGGTTTGTTTGACACTGGTAGGAATTCCGTTGCTACAGCTTGCTCATTTTGGTGCACATCGCTTGAAAATACATTTTTCCTCACAAACCTAAAACACATGAATTATATAAAAACCCGAATCTCTGTGATATAGAGACCAAAGAAGAATTCAGATTTCTTCAAAATAAGTGCTCCCAGAGTTGTGATACTATACTATAGGAATTGATTATGTAAAGGTGTTTAGATCCAGTGGAATGGAGACATATATTTTTTTTCTAAAAAGAGTACAACATTTTTTGTTAACTATATTTTGACGTCACATGTATAAAGTTCGTACATCGATGAAGTCCTTACTAGCCATAACAAAGGACGACAACTCTAGAGAAACTATTAACTGCGAAATTGTCAACTTTGTTATTCGACTTCATTTGGTGATGAATTTCATTTTCTATGTTGTTCACAATCTTCAAGCTAGATAGAAAAATATATGCCTATTTACACAAATATAAAATGGTGTACATGTTAAAGAATTACAAGCTTAGAAAAAGACCCTCACTTGTTGTTAAGTTAGCATTTAATTTGTTAACATTTAATAACAATGCTGACAAAAAGTCACTTTTTGTAGTATACATGTACATGTATTTATATGTTGAAATAAAGTTGGTTTGATTTTTACAGGCATAAATGAATTATTTAACGTTTCCCGCTAATTGTTTTGTTTGCCCATGTACAAGATTGTTATTTGACACAATATGCCTCTAGGAGGCCCGTGTTTTTTAAAATAAAGTTGAGAACGTTTTTGATTTGAATTTCTGCCATCGGTCAGGATCTTATTATCCAAGTCATCGATCTGTCAGAATGTAGTTACAGTTTGAAATTAGAAAAATATGACAGTATATTGATAGATGGAGGATAATTATATTGTCAGATTATCATCCAGTTAGTTTTAGGCAAATCTTTTCAAAATGAACTTGTATTTGGATATGCCATTGTTTGGACAATATTTAAGTTATAGATATTTTTATATAATTTTATTGCACATTATGTAAATACACTGTGGCGCCATTTAGCGTCAATGGTGCGACATTTAGCGTCAATGGTGCGACATTTAGCTGCAAGTGCGACATTTAGCGGCAAGTGCGATATTTAACGGCGCATTGTAGGAGCACATTTGTCTCGGAGCACATTTGTCTTACGTAAGACCGATGCGGTCGCATTTGTCCCACATGAGACAAATGGGACCTCAAATGTCTACCCCAAAAAACTCATTTGTGTGACAAATGTGCTCCGATCAAGTTTTTTAAGGGACAAGAAAGCACATTTGTCTCATGTCATTTTTTATGAATTATTTGTCACATATTTCCCCACGGCAGAAATTCTTTTTTAGAATCGAGGTTCGCCGTTTTACCTCAAGTGTAATCATCAATAGGTTTGCTTATGCTTTCTTTATGAAAACCTACAGTGAACTATTAATTATAATATCTCTTATTCAAGAAATTGATTGACTTACACTGAAACATACTAAATCCCATTCACGAAGGTACAATGGTGACAGCGCGATGGCACGATGGTACGTTGATGAAAACGCGATGGTGCGATGGTGAAAACACAATGGTACGAACGTGAAACAACGATTGTACGATGGTGAAACAACGATTGTACGATGGTGAAACAACGAAGGCTCGATGATGAAAACGTGATGGTACTATGATGAAAGACGATGTTACGATGGTGAAAATACGATGGTACGATATGATGAAACTGCGATGGCATGATGATGAAAACGCGATATTATTTTCTCTATCGTGTCATCGCATCATCGTGATTTCACCATCGTGCCATCGTGTTTTAATCATCGTACCATCTCAATTTCACTTTTGTACCATTGTGCATAGCTGTTCAGGGAGACAAAAATGTTACTTATGTCCAAACGGAACACCATAATCGGTTGATATTGAATGACTCGTTTCGCATTTCGCCGAAATCTCGCGAAATCTCGCGTCTCGCTTCGCATCCCGTTCGTCGACGCGAGACCAGGTCATATACCGCTAAGTAGTATTCACTTTATAGTCTACATAAAATCACTTAAAGGCCCATTATGCCTGAGAAATGCTTTTATTTTATTCCTCTTTGGTATACTTTTTTAGCTCCAAAACGTTACTCATTGGCTAATTATCTGAAGCATATTTCATCTGCTGCTTTTTTGCAGTTTGTACAGTTGAAGAGATTTAGAATTTTGTATTGAAGTCAAAGTACTAATTTGTTTACATTTTGCTACTTTTATGACGCATTATTTCACATTTTTCGCGATTTTTTTTTTGGTTACAAGCATCTAACTTCCTCAGAAATCATTATTTGAATATTCATTCTTGTCCTATCTAAAGAAGTAAAAATTTATTAATTTCTGAAATCTCTTGGTACGGGATACTTCGACATTGCGAGATCTCCTGTTACAATATCGTGCCTCGCTTCGTGTCTCATTGGAATGTCGGGTCTCACTCGATTCTGAGTGGCCCGATATTCCATAATTATGACATAATCCGGATTATTTTAGGAACTCATGCATGTTGTAAGTGCCTTTTCAATGGCGAATCTGAAAGCCGCAATTCTTGGAAAATGATGACTTTTTATACATATATTTCTGATGAAAACGAAATACGTGTGTAATGGTCTTCTTATTTTTTCCATGGATCATTTAAGGGCCTCCGTGGCCGAGTGATTTCGAAAAACCACTTGCCCCTAACCGCTGTAGGTTTGACACATAAACGGGGCGTCGAACTATTCATGCGAGGATCCAGGTCAGGGTCCAAATGCCATAAATAATCTAAAAAATCTTTAAGCATTGAAAATAGACGTATCTCAATTGATAACGATAAGATTAGATTTGCTGCATATATGTTTAGGTTCTGGATGCTGCACTTGTAGAAATTTTCATTGTGAGATGCAGAACAGGGATATTTTTTAATTTAATATATGACTCCTATGCAGAGGCAGGAAGTTTTTGACTAACCGGAAGTGACTCAAAAACGGTATTATAAATACAAAAAACACAGAACAATGGCTGGTAGCCGGTATACAGATGGACATAATTATAACCTTTGAGATTTTTATGGAAAAAATGTGAGACAAATGTGCTTCGAGTGTCCTTTCTATTGTGTGTCAAACACATCTGTCTCATTTCCAATTAGTCGCAAATATGAATGTTTACGAACACATCGGTCTTACTTCGTAAGACAAATGTGTTCCGAGACAAATGTGCTCCTACAGCGCCACATTGACTGCATCAGTTCTTTGAATTTTAGTGTGTTCGGTCGATTGAAATATTTACTTGGAATTAGGCTTCTCCTACTAAAACAGAAGAAAGGGCATTTTAACATATAGTGGTATTCATCGGCAATATCATTTTGATTACATAAAGTGCATTTCCTTTGACCATGTTCTACAAAAGCTTAACGCTATCTGCCAGTTTTAAAAAGTGTCACAGTTAAATCGTATACATACACATGCACAGTAAGTTAACTGGAGTGCAGGCATCAGTTACCCGCACTTCAAATCATTCCCGTTGAGAAATAAAGTTGATTTCTATGGTGGCTGCTTTGGAACGTTTTTGTGCGCCGTCTTGTAGCTAGCGAAGCACGCCAAACGTCGCGTTGTCGTGTGACGTGTTGTCGCGATGTCGCTCAAATCAAAGGATTGGCTTATAGCCAAGCGACAAGACGTCATAGCAACGTAAAGGCGATACCGATATAGGTTGTGTTATCGCTATCGACAACGCAACGCGCAAAGTGTTCCAAATCAGCCACCATACATTATAAGCTATATCATTCTCGTAAATGAAATACATGGAAAAATATATAAAATAATGATTATCAATAAATTAAAAAATATAATAAATAAATAAATTAAAAAGTAAAACAAAAATAGAATAATTTAATTCAAAGGCCTAATAAAAGTTTCACCCGTTGTGGGATTTGAGCGTACGACCTTCCGCATGCGAAACAAGGACCTTAACCACTACTCTTACAGGCCATATATTATCTTTCAAATGTTTTTCCTGTTGGTGCGTTTTCGTATATGGCTTTATCCTGCCACCCCTGTGTACTTATAAATTAAGATTTCCCATTCTCGATCATATTTGAATCGATACCGTTATGCCGGATTCCGATGATTGCCGATAAAAGGTCGTTGAATATTCAAATGTCTCGGGCCAATATCGCCCAACAATATTTCAATAATGAAAAGGTCAGAGTTGAGAAGCACGGCGGAATATGCCGAATTTTCCCGCTTCACAGATTACAGACAATGTGATCATTTGAGCTAACAGGTCATTTTTGGTGGGAAACTCGCGCCGAGAAGACGTTCTTTGTGAAAAGAGTAAGTGTGATGATATTTTACAACTTTTGTATTTGATCGTTTATATTGTTCTTGATGTATGCTATTTTTTATGTACTCGCGCTTTATAAAATATCTTTAAATATGTATATTATCCCTGTAGTTAGTTATGAGTTGAGTTGAAGTTATTGATGATGGTTGTTGTTATAAAATGTGATTTGGCCAGACTACGTGATGCGCCCGCGGTTTTGTTGATATACTCGCGATTTATAAAATCTTTATGTAAGCTATCCCTGTACCCCCTATAGTAAGTAATGTGTAGGGTTGAAGTTATTGTTGATGGTTGTTGTAATAAAATGTGATTTGGCCAGACTACGTGATGCGTCCGCGGTTTTGTTGATATACTCGCGATTTATAAAAAAATCTTTATGTAAGTTATCCCTGTACCCCCTGTAGTAAGTGATGTATTGAGTTAAAGTTATTGTTGATGGTTGTTGTTATAAAATGTGATTTGGCCAGACTACGTGATGCGCCCGCGGTTTTGTTGATATACTCGCGATTTATAAAAAAAATCTTTATGTAAGTTATCCCTGTACCCCCTGTAGTAAGTGATGTGTTGAGTTGAAGTTATTGTTGATGGTTGTTGTTATAAAATGTGATTCTGGCCAGACTACGTGATGTGCCCGCGGTTTTTTATATACTCGTGATTTATAAAAAATCTTTATGTATGTTATCCCTGTAGTTAGTAATGTGTAGAGTTGAAGTTATTGTTAATGGTTGTTGTTATAAAATGTGATTCTGGCCAGGCTACGTGATGCGCCCGCGTTTGTTTTTTATATGTACTCACGATTTATAAAAAATCTTTATGTATGTTATCCCTTTAGTTAGAAATGTGTTGAGTAGAAGTTCTTGTTGTAAAATGTGATTCTGGCCAGGCTACGTGATGCGCCCGCGGTTTTTTTTATTTACTCGAGTATTGTATTTGATATGTATTTGTATCTTTTTCACCAATAAAATAATCTTATGTTTTTTAAAATTTTTGTTTTATGCTCATATCTCCTTTAGACCTCTTGCTTCATGTTTAACCTACTCTTTTTATGCTATGACTTGTGTATTTAGAATTTGTGTACTATGATTATGTTTGATATGTTTAATTATGTAAATAATAAATTAGATTTTGAAATGCCTGTATTTGTTTGCTCTAATACCTATATTTTTGTTTTACAGATCTACTTGCCAGGTTCTTTAACTGTTTGTTTTTTTCCCCTATTCTAATGTTTTGTGGGTTTTTTTTTGTGTTTTTGGAAACCCCCTGGAAAGAAGATGTTGGTGTTCTAGTTCTACATTGTGGAGGAGATGTGATGATGTGGATAGCTGCATGTGTATTATTGGTTGGAAACTGGCATGATGGAGCAATTAGGTATTTTAAAATATTATATTTTAAGGATTTTTTTGTATGCATAGTA